ATATTTCAATTCATGTCACATTGAAAAAGAATGAAGTTTCATGTTTTAAATTTTGGGTGAATTACAATTTACAGTAATTTAGAGTTATTGTATTTCATTAATGTATTTTAATACTTTTAATTTACTTTAGGTTACAATTACATAATGGTTAATTATGGCTATTAAGTATGAATGTTACAACTTTTGGAATGCCTTTAGTAGTTTCATTTTGAGGCTATATAAAGCCATGTATGTTGTATTTGTAAGGGACTTGGAAAATATAGTAAAAGAAGCATCTGTGCTCTTTCTTTAGCCAATGGCTAAGTTTCTTTGCAATTCTATGTAGTTTAGGTTGCATGTAGAATCATTCAAGCTTGACATGATCAATCTTGCTTGTGGAGTGATTCGAATCTCAAGCAAATGTTCTTGCCTTGAGATATTTGATCAACAAGAATCATTCAAGCTAGACATGATCGATCTTGCTTGTGGAGTTATTCGAATCTCAAACAATGTTCTTGCCTTGAGATATTCGATCAACAAGGTAATCTGAATCTTACTCTCCTTGTAGTGATTCCTTATCTTATCAATCTTCTTTTACAATGAACTTGGCTCTAATACCACTTGCTATCTTTTAACTGAGCAGCTCACCACTAGTGAGAGCAAGAAGAAAATAATAGGAAGTGCAAGATAACTAAAAGCTTGGAAGATTCCACTACATCCGGGAATGTGCAGATCAGGGGCTCATCAAGATTGATTTCATCCGAAGAGAGGTCTTGGAGACATTTTCACCAAGTCTCTTGCTCAAGTAAAGCTTAAGGAACTTTGCTCAAAGATCAGAGTTCAAATAATAAGGTAGATATACCATAGCTTTTAGGAGGATTAGGTCATCTGAATTTACGCTTACACATATAATGGTAGACCATATTTTGTACACCCAAAGTGTACTCTCTGAGTGACTCGAACCATTCATTTAGGATGATAAAATGAAGTGGGAGACCTCCCTTTTTTATAGTGTAGGCCAACACGCCACTTCTCAGCTTTCGAAACGTAGCACAAAGTTTTGCTTCTTTTATTGATTTTTTGTTTCTATTTTTTTTTCGTTTATACATCATACACGTCAAGATCAAACTTTCATCCTCAAAAGTGTCTTAATATTGGAATTACTCGGGTACTTCTCCTTGATCTTTTCCCGATGTTTCCACATAGTTTCTTTCGTTTCATAGTCTTGTAAAGATCATTTTCCTTGTACATGTTTTTTTCTTTAAACAAGAAGAAAAATAGATATGATTAATAAGAATGAGAAAATCACAACGAAATAAAAATTTAAAAGTTGTGGTCGAATGTTCAAACATCCAAATTCATCGCTAGTCGACATTGTCTGTTTTGTCCACTATGGCATGTAATGTAATATCGTTTGTTTCACGGTTTTAAAACGCATCTTTAAGGAGAGATTTCCACCTCATTACTTCAGACTTAACCTGATATTTAATGTGGAATTACTTTAATGAACCCTTATTATAAATTCAACATTAACTTGGTGCCTCATTTATTACCTCGGGAATAAACAAATAGAAAGAAAAAATGAAAAACATTATTGAATTAAACGTCATATACTAACCAATGACCTAATAATTATAAATACCACTGAACCTATACTAACCTATACTTTATTAAATGCAAAAACAACTCAACCTAAACTTTATTAAATACAAATACAAATCAACCTATAGTTTATTAAATGCAAATACAACTCAGACAAGACTGATCTATACTATTGTCAAATGCAAATACAATTGAACTTATACTAATCTTTACTATTGTCAAATGAAAATACTACTCAACATAAACTAACCTATACTATTAAATTATTATGCGAAACTATCTTATGCACGTGTCACGAACTCGTGGTTGTGAAGCCTCCGTCAGTCTTACAGGGGCGCCTTGCCTTTATGTGAAAAATATAGTAGCACGAGGCTTGAGTGTTTTAAGAATACTCAGTAAACGACCCCCCTATCGAGGTTATGATCCAAGACATGCGAATGCAATGACGAGACCTAGCATCACAGTCTATTTTCCTACAGTACTATCCTAACGGGTGGCTTGGATGTGTACCATATACCATACACATGGCCCATACATGCGAGTATGGACCACGAGTCGGTTCGCACACCCCTAGCCCCTTTCCTTGTCGGGCGAGCATGCTCTAATAGCTCTCTATGCCGGATACCCGTTACAAACGGTAGTCGTCACGACAGCATTACGTAAAACATAATGAAAGTTATCCTGCCTTGTGGTGTACGTGCCCATACCATCGTGAAGGAATACGGGTATCCCCGAATGCATGAGCACACATTAATGCATGAGGTCCCAATATTTTTCCATTTTCAACATTATTAAATATAACCCCCGCTATCATTTCATGGATATCATACCATTTCTCATATCAGTTATCACATCGTTCATGCTTATATCGGGATTATATTTCATATTATTTATTGTTCTTCATGTAATTCAAATCATTCTATACATGCAATTCACAAGACATAACGTAACATTTTCACGCTTTCAACATAACGTTTCATAACGCACAAACTAGCTAAATCTTGTTGGCTTATTGGCCCTTGATCTCACATTAATTAATTTCAATGAATTAATTATTGATGTTTTGATGATAACAAACCTACTTTTAATTATTAACTATTTTCAGTTTTTTGAATTGTCCACAGTATAAGGTCGGGAATAACGATTACAACAACTTTTCAATTACTCAAATCAGAGCTAAAACGAAGAAATTAGAGTCGAGACAACATACCCGACGTGATGATGTGGCAACAAAATCAAAATGATGGACAAATCAAAATATATCAAAGTATGACATTTATAATATTGGAAGAGTAACAAATGGTGGAGTTTTTCTTATTATTACATTTCTAAATAAAATTATTTTCACAAAATATAAATTTGAATATAACCGTTACTCACATCGAATTTTATTATTACTATATTATATTATTATATTATTATATTTTAAAATTTTGGTAGTTACTCACATCATTTATATTATTATTATATTATTATATTTATAATAAATTTTGAATTTCATTTGACCGTTACTCACATAACTTTTTATTATTATTATATTATATTACTATTATATTAAAATTTTGAAATAAATGAATTTAGAAAATTTTCTTATTTAATTACTTTTAATCTCCACCTTCCATTATTCCTAACACAATCCAATGGTCAATATTCAATCCTACATTTTGCCACTTTTCTCCTCTATATAAACTCATCTTCCCCACATTTTTATAACACACAACTTACATACATTCTTCAATCCTCATTTGTTCAAAGTCTCCATTGTTTGTTGCTCTCTCCAAGCTTACAAGTTTATTTCTTTTCATCTTATTCTTGAGAGGGATTATTATTATATTGTGAGGAAATAGTTGTCAGTATCCCAAATTGTAAATCTACTCTTTGAGAGAGTTGTGGTGTGTTATTATCAAACTCAAATACTTGTTTCGGTTTGATCCTACGCCGTGGAAAGGATTGAGTTTGCTCTTGAACTCGTAAAAAGAGCGGTGTACCGGTTTGGCTCTGATCCGTGGAAAGAGTCGGAAAAGTTCTTTATTCAAATTCCCAAGAGGCGCTTGGGGAGTGGAGTAGGTCGAGTTTGACCGAACCACTATAAAACTACGGTGTCATTTTCTCTAACTCTTTCCTATTTAATTTCAAGATTATTATTATGATTTATTGCATGTTCTACTTGATTATTGTTTTGACTTGAATTATTTTGTTTTAGTAATTATCATCTTCTACTTATTTGTAAAAAGTTTTATCATTAGAAAAAATTAATCAAGTTTAAACACTTTTATCGTTAAAACCCTATTCACCCCCCCTCTAGGGTTGCCATACCGATCCAACAATTGGTATCAGAGCAGGTTGCTCCTATAGATTTTTTATCTAAACTTTATTGTTCGAGCTTATGGCAAACCTACGTGTTAAAAATGGTTTTAGTGAAGGACAATCAACTTCTAGGCCACCTTATTTTGATGGAACAAATTATACATGTTGGAAAGCTAGGATGAAAATTTATTTGCAATCCGTTGATTATCAATTGTGGTTAAATGTTAGTAATGGTCCTTACATTCCAATAAAAATTGTTAATAATATTGAGGTGCCTAAATTAGAAAATGAATTTGATGAGCATGATATGAAAAAATGTTCTTTGAATGCTAGTGCTATCAATTGTCTGTATTGTGCCTTAAGTAATGATGAATTTAATAGAGTATGTATGTGTTCTTCGGCCTATGAAATTTGGAAAACTCTTGAAGTAACTCATGAGGGAACCAATCAAGTTAAAGAAACAAAAATTAGCATGTTAGTTCATAATTATGAACTATTTAAAATGGAGGAAAATGAACCTATTGGTGATATGTTTACTAGATTTACTAATATTTTAAATGCTTTGAAAAATCTTGGAAAAGTATATTCTACTTCCGAAAATGTAAGAAAAATTCTTAGGTCTCTGCCTAAAAGTTGGGAGGCAAAAGTGACGGCGATTCAAGAAGCGAAGGATCTCACAAAGCTTCCTTTGGATGAACTCGTTGGTTCTCTCATGACACATGAGATTACCATGAACGGGCACATGGAAGAAGAATCCAAAAAGAAGAAAAGTATAGCCCTAAAGTCCATCAAAGTTGACTCTGAAGATGAGGACGTCCTTGATGAAGATGATGTCGCCTACTTCACACGTAAGTATAAAAATTTTATTAAAAGGAAGAAACAATTCAAAAAACATTTCACAAATCAAAAAGAGTCAAATGGTGAAAAGAGCAAAAACGATGAGGTAATATGTTATGAATGTAAAAAACCGGGTCATATAAGAACAGATTGTCCTCTCCTCAAATCATCTAAGAAATCCAAGAAGAAAGCAATGAAGGCTACTTGGGATGATAGTGATGAAAGTGCAAGTGGAAGTGATGAAGAAGTAGCAAATTTTTGCTTCATGGCTCATAGTGACAAAGAGGATGAACAAGAAGATGAACAAGAAGATGAGGTAACTCTTGAATCTCTTTCTTATCATGAATTATTTAAACTTGTTGATGAGATGACAATTGATTTAGAAAAACTTAGTTCAAAGTATGTTGTGCTTAAAAAGAAATATAAGACTTCAATTATTGAAAATAAGTCTTTACTAAATGAAATTTCTTGCTTAAAGGAGAAGGATCATAATATTGTTAAAATCGATGTACCTTGTGAAAAACATGTATTTGATTGTGATGAGAAAAATGCATTAATTGATAAAGTCAAGACTCTTGAGCATGATTGTGGTGAAAAAGATAAATTAATTAAATTGCTCAAAGAGAATGAATCAAATAATTTGCAAGAACTTGGTAGGGCTAAGGAATCTATTAAAATGTTAACAATAGGTGCTCAAAAATTAGATAAAATACTTGAAGGAGGTAAGTCATATGGTGATAAAAGAGGATTAGGCTATATTGATGAATGTTCTACACCTTCAAGTTCTAAAACAATATTTGTTAAAGCATCCCCTATCTTGTCTAAATCTAACACATGTAAATTTGTATCTAAGTATGATAAATCTAGATTTGTGCCTATATGTCATTATTGTGGTGTTGAAGGTCATATTAGACCTAAGTGCTTTAAATTGAAAAATTCTCAAAATATTCATTTAGGAAGAAAAGTTTCTCAAAATACAAAGTTTAACAATGTTTTAGAAAATAATTTTTCGAATAAAAATAGAATACACAAATTTAGTCCAAGAAATAAATTCTTGCATAATGTCGTTTGTTTCTCGTGTGGTAAGTTTGGACATAAAGATTATTCTTGTTACTTATCTAAATACAATGTCTTTAATATGAATGCAAATATGAAATGGATTCCTAAATTTGTGAATACTAACTTTCTAGGACCCAAACAAGTATGGGTACCAAAAAGTCAATTTTGAATATCTTTGTCTTTAGGTTTGTTTGAAAGCCTCCAAGAAAAATAAGTGGTACTTGGATAGTGGTTGCTCAAGACACATGACGGGTAATCCATCCAAGTTTGTCAATCTTTCCAAGAAGGATGGTGGCTTAGTAACCTTTGGTGATAACAAGAAGGGTAAAATAATTGGTAAGGGTACTATAGGTAATGACTCTTGTACTCTCATTGAAAATGTATTGTTAGTTGATGGTTTAAAGCATGACTTACTTAGCATTAGTCAATTATGTGATAAAGGTTTTAGAGTTGTATTTGATAAGAATAATTGCATAATTGAAAATGCTAGTGATAGAAAAGTTTTGTTTGTAGGAAATAGAGACTATAATGTGTATACTATTGATTTGAATGATTGTCCTACAAATGATAAATGTCTTTCGGTTTTGCTTGATAACTCTTGGCTATGGCATAGAAGACTAGGACATGCTAGTATGAACTTGATTTCAAATATTTCAAAAAATTCATTAGTTAGAGGTCTTCCTCAACTTAAATTTGAAAAAGATAAAATTTGTGACGCTTGTCAAATGGGTAAGCAAACTAAGTCTTCTTTCAAATCTAAAAATATGATTTCTACTACTAGACCTCTTCAACTACTCCATATGGACTTATTTGGCCCTTCTAAAATAGCTAGTTATGGAGGAAATTATTATGCTTTTGTGATAGTGGATGATTTTTCAAGATTTACTTGGGTTTTGATGATAAAACATAAGAATGATGTTTTGAAAAGATTTGCTAGTTTTGTAAAAAGAGTTCAAAATGAAAAAGAGTTTTTAATTACTAAAATTAGGAGTGACCATGGAGGAGAATTTAACAGTGTTGCCTTTGAAAAATTTTGTGAAGATAATGGTTTTTCTCATGACTTCTCCTCTCCAAGGACTCCTCAACAAAACGGTGTGGTTGAAAGGAAAAATCGTACTTTACAAGAATTTGCTAGATCAATGTTAAATGAGTATGATTTACCTAAATATTTTTGGGCGGAAGCTGTTAATACCGCTTGTTATATTTTAAATGAGTTTTAATTAGACCTTCATTAAATAAAACTCCTTATGAACTTTGGCATAACAAAATTCCAAATGTTGGGTATTTCAAAGTTTTTGGTTGTAAATGTTTTATTTTGAACAACAAAGAGAAGCTTAGAAAGTTTGATTCAAAAACGGATATTGGTATTTTTCTTGGCTATTCATCTACTAGTAAAGCTTATAGAATTTTCAATAAGAGAACTTTAGTTATTGAAGAATCTATGCATGTGGTATTTGATGAATCTTGCAATAATATTTCTAATGAGTCTATTTGTAGTGATGATTTAGAAAGAAATTTTGGAGATTTACTCGTTAGTGACAACGACAAAGAAATTGTTACGAGTAAAGAAGAGATGGGCTTAAAGGAAGAAGGTTCTTCATCAATGCCAAAAGAATGGAGGTATGCCTTGTCTCATCCCAAGGACTTGATTCTTGGTGATCTCGAACAAGGTGTGAAAACTCGCTCTTCTATTAATTTATTTAATAATCTTGCTTTTGTTTCTCAAATTGAACCAAAAAGTATTAAGGATGCCGAAAATGATGAGTTTTGGATTTTAGCCATGCAAGAGGAGCTAAATCAATTTGAGAGGAACAAAGTTTGGGAATTAGTCCCTAGGCCATCTAATACTTCTATTATTGGAACCAAATGGGTTTTTAGAAATAAAATGGATGAAAATGGGAATATCATTAGAAATAAAGCTAGGCTTGTAGCTCAAGGTTATTGTCAAGAGGAAGGCATAGATTATGAAGAAACTTTTGCACCCGTTGCTAGATTAGAAGCTATTAGAATGTTACTTGCTTTTGCTTCTTACAAAAATTTTGTATTATATCAAATGGATGTGAAAAGTGCATTTTTGAATGGTTATATTATGGAGGAAGTTTATGTAGAACAACCTCCCGGATTTGAAAATGTAGAATTTCCTCATCATGTCTATAAGTTGAAAAAGGCTCTTTATGGCTTAAAACAAGCTCCAAGAGCTTGGTATGATAGACTTAGTAATTTTCTTATTGGGAATGATTTTAAAATGGGCAAACTCGACACTACACTCTTTATTAAGATTAAAGAAAACGATATGCTATTAGTGCAAATATATGTGGATGATATCATATTTGGTTCTACTAATCCTTCTTTATGTGAAGAATTTTCTAAATGTATGCATAGTGAATTTGAGATGAGTATGATGGGAGAACTCAGTTTCTTTCTTGGACTTCAAATCAAACAACTCAAGAATGGTATCTTCATCAATCAAGAGAAATACACTAAAGATTTGCTCAAAAGATTTAAGTTCAATGGAGGTAAGATTGCAAGAACTCCCATGAGCACATCCACTAAGCTTGACAAGGATGAAAAAGGTAAAAGTGTGGATATTAAAGCTTATCGAGGTATGATTGGATCTTTACTTTACTTGACCGCTAGTAGACCCGATATTATGTTTAGTGTATGTCTTTGTGCTAGATTTCAATCTTGTCCTAAGGAATCTCATTTACATGCCGTTAAGAGAATATTTAAATATTTGCTTGGAACTATTGATCTAGGATTGTGGTATCCTAGAAATGTTGAATTTAAATTGGTAGGATATTCTAATGCGGATTTTGCCGGAAGCTTACTTGATCGTAAAAGTACTAGTGGAACTTGTCAATTTCTTGGTAGTTCCTTAGTTTCTTGGTTTAGTAAAAAGCAAAATTCGGTTGCTTTATCTACTACCGAAGCGGAATATATTGCAGTTGCTAGTTGCTGTGCTCAAATTCTTTGGATGAAACAAACTCTTTGTGATTTTGGATTAAAGTTTCATAGTGTACCTATATTTTGTGATAATACAAGTGCTATTAATTTAACTAAAAATCCTATTCATCATTCTAGAACTAAACATATTGACATTAGACATCATTTTATTAGAGAGCATGTGCAAAATGGACATATTATTCTTGATTTTGTAAACTCTAATAATCAACTGGCCGATATTTTCACCAAGCCATTGAATGAAGAAAATTTTTGCAAAAATAGGCTTGAGCTTGGTATTATTCGTTGTGATATATCTTGAATTTTATAATTTTTGAATGCATGTTTTTAGGGGGAGCCATTATGTCATTATTAAATGCATTCTCTTTCAATTGTTCATTTTGATGATTACAAAGGGGGAGAAAATTAAGAAAAACATGTTCTAAATTTGTTGTTTTATAATTTATGAATTATTTATTTGGTGTGATGTTTCATAATTTCTTGAGGCATTAATATAAGGGAAAATATGCTCTTGAGTGAAATTTATGATAATATATTAGTATGTATTGATATTATTACATGGATGGTGTATTATTGGTTTTTTATGAATTTTTCTTGAAATGGTTTGTCATCATCAAAAAGGGGGAGATTGTTGGCTTATTGGCCCTTGATCTCACATTAATTAATTTCAATGAATTAATTATTGATGTTTTGATGATAACAAACCTACTTTTAATTATTAACTATTTTCAGTTTTTTGAATTGTCCACAGTATAAGGTCGGGAATAACGATTACAACAACTTTTCAATTACTCAAATCAGAGCTAAAACGAAGAAATTAGAGTCGAGACAACATACCCGACGTGATGATGTGGCAACAAAATCAAAATGATGGACAAATCAAAATATATCAAAGTATGACATTTATAATATTGGAAGAGTAACAAATGGTGGAGTTTTTCTTATTATTACATTTCTAAATAAAATTATTTTTACAAAATATAAATTTGAATATAACCGTTACTCACATCGAATTTTATTATTACTATATTATATTATTATATTATTATATTTTAAAATTTTGGTAGTTACTCACATCATTTATATTATTATTATATTATTATATTTATAATAAATTTTGAATTTCATTTGACCGTTACTCACATAACTTTTTATTATTATTATATTATATTACTATTATATTAAAATTTTGAAATAAATGAATTTAGAAAATTTTCTTATTTAATTACTTTTAATCTCCACCTTCCATTATTCCTAACACAATCCAATGGTCAATATTCAATCCTACATTTTGCCACTTTTCTCCTCTATATAAACTCATCTTCCCCACATTTTTATAACACACAACTTACATACATTCTTCAATCCTCATTTGTTCAAAGTCTCCATTGTTTGTTGCTCTCTCCAAGCGTACAAGTTTATTTCTTTTCATCTTATTCTTGAGAGGGATTATTATTATATTGTGAGGAAATAGTTGTGAGTATCCCAAATTGTAAATCTACTCTTTAAGAGAGTTGTGGTGTGATATTATCAAACTCAAATACTTGTTTCGGTTTGATCCTACGCCGTGGAAAGGATTGAGTTTGCTCTTGAACTCGTAAAAAGAGCGGTGTACCGGTTTGGCTCTGATCCGTGGAAAGAGTCGGAAAAGTTCTTTATTCAAATTCCCAAGAGGCGCTTGGGGAGTGGAGTAGGTCGAGTTTGACCGAACCACTATAAAACTACGGTGTCATTTTCTCTAACTCTTTCCTATTTAATTTCAAGATTATTATTATGATTTATTGCATGTTCTACTTGATTATTGTTTTGACTTGAATTATTTTGTTTTAGTAATTATCATCTTCTACTTATTTGTAAAAAGTTTTATCATTAGAAAAAATTAATCAAGTTTAAACACTTTTATCGTTAAAACCCTATTCACCCCCCTCTAGGGTTGCCATACCGATCCAACAAATCTAATTATGCATAAAAATTTACTCCTAATGATTTAAACTATCTATGCCTAATTACGCATAAATAATTTAAATTAGATTCCAAAAATTTAACTTAAGTCTAATTATGCATAAAAACTTACTCCTCATAATTTAAACTAAGTCTAATTATGCATAAAAACGTACTCCCAATAATTTAGACTAAGCCCAATACTGCATAGAAACTTAGTCCCAATAATTTAAACTAAGCCCAATATGGCATAGAAACTGACTCCTAATAATTTAAACTAGGCCTCATCATGCATAAATAATTTAAACTCGAATAAAAAAATTTAACTAACCAGAGGTAGTCATACATACTAAATTTGAACGCTTTATAAAAATTGAAACTAGTAGGAAAGAGTCCGAGCAAATCAACCAAAATTTTGGCCTTGAGCCGTAAGAAAGTGTACTCTTTGACTGGCTCGAACCGTTCATTTAGGATGATAAAATAAAGTGGGGGACCTCCATTTTTTTTTATAATGGAGGCAAACCCGCCACTTCTCAGCTTTAGCAACGTGGCGCAAAGTTTTGCTTCTTTTATTTATTTATTTATTATTATTTTTTTTCGTTCATACATCGTACA